TTCCACTGAGCCATCTCCCCAACCCGACCCCCTTCTTTTTGAACAACCATCTACCCAAGAGACATCATAGCGGCAACTGAGTTTACACGCATATAATATTCAAATAACGGAACTTAACAAAAAAACCCGTATGCAGATGAATGTCCATTTTGTATCTGTGTATTCAAAGTAGTTAGGATAGATATATAGTTACATTCTCTTTATGAATAGAGTGATTTGTTCTAATGGTGTTTGTAAATAGAATATCATGTCCTCATCTTGTACAGCAATTAACCACTAGGAAGAGTGTATGGAATGTGTTAATTATTGAAACTGTCCTACAATTTGATTTGACAAAAAAGAAAACATTTATTATAATATTAAGAGCAAAAAATGATGTTTGGTGTATAGTTTCCTTTCACAATCGTATCTGAGATCTTGGAAGGATCTACAAGGCAAGATGATGGTGTGAAATACTAAAAGAAAATTATCACTACAGGTATTCACTGGTGATATTATTGTCTTCACTAGCCACCTAAAATAAACCTCAGTTAAATGTTATAAATATCTATACTATAAAGGTACTGGAATGAAAAAAGTAAACATGATACTGCAATAAATAAACAAACAAAGGATCAAACGTAACACATTAGAAGATTCAGAAACAACTGAAAACATCCTGAGCAACTTTATCTTTGAAATAAAACCCCAAACACTCAATGGAAGAAAGATAATTCTTTAGCAAATGGTTCTGGAAAAACTGGCTTTAACATGCTAAAGATTAAAACTAGATCTCTGTCTCTCACCATGCACTAATATAAAATTGAAATGGATCAAAGATCTGAATATCAAAGCAAATTCTCTAAATCTACTGGAAGATGGACTAGGTAGATCTCTTGAAGACAAAGGTGTAAGCAAAGATTTTATGACCAAAACCCTGATTTCACAAAAACTATCAAAAAAAGAATCAACAACCAGGACATCTTCTTATTAAATAAAAAGCATTTGTGCTTAAAAGGAAACCACCAACAGAGTAAAAAGACAACAAGTAGAGTGGAAAAAAATTTACCAGTTGTTCCTCAGACAAAAGAGTAATATCTAGAATGAATTAAAAATTCAACTCCCACACTTAAAGACCTAGTACAAATATTGGCATCTGAAATGAATAGGCACCTCTCAGATAAAAAAGTAGAAATGTCAAATAAATATATGAAAAAATGGTCAGCTTCAGTGATCATTTGGCAAATGCAAATCAAAACAACATTAAGATTCCATCTCCCTTCAAAAA